GGGCTCTGTCTTAGAGGCCTGGGGAGCTCCTCTGCCCAGGCCTGGGGAGGGCATTCATGGGGTGCACCCAAGATAGTACCCAGAACAGCTGGGATTCCTCAGCTAGCTTGTTCTGTGCCACTATTTTCTCTTTGGGGACAGTTTATGGGACACCTGGAACTAAGAAATGTACTGCTTGGGCTACATTTCCCACCTGCTCCTTCTCTGCGCCTAGGACACTGAAAGTAGGAATCATCACTTGCTACCAGACAGGATTGTTAAGAAAAGAAATGAAGTCCAAATGAAACACAGTGCAAAGTATTGAACTGGAGTACAAAACATATTCATTCATGCTGATGCTGCTTTTGACTTTATTCTCACTCTCAGATTACTTCCTTGTTTCCCAGGAATTCCCCAGATGCTGTTATGACTTCTTTAATTGCCTCTCACCAATTTTCCTATAGACATTAGTGGTTTATTTTAAGAGGGCAGCTAAAAATGCATTCACAATAGTCCATGTTTTCATTGGACCTCCTTTTGAAAAGGGAATTGTTCATGGATTGATTGATTTTCCAAACTTATTTTTAAACAGCACAAACACAGATCAAAATAAAAAGAAAGAGTTACATAATCTGATACCTACAAGATTTAAAATTTTCCATGTGCCCTTCCAGTACTGCTTCAGAGTGAGTTCTGGCTGTGAGTTCAAGGAAGAGGCACCAGTGTGTTAGAAACGAGTGCAGGGTGCAGCATTCTGGCCTCAGAGGATTACGTGTTGGAACCAGAGCCAGTGAGCACAGCCTCCTGCTGCTGGCCAGGCTGCTGCTGCTTGGGCCTCTCTCCCTTGGTCCACAGAGGCTAAGGCTCTGTCCATGCAAACACGGAAAGTGGAGAGGCAGTGAAACCACATGATTTTGTAGGACTTCAAACCAGAAAAGCTTAACAGTTTCAGGAGGGAAATAGGCTTTGGTCTGGTCATCTGGAGAGTAGCATTTGTAGATAGAACCTTAATCAGAGCAAAGAGCTGAGGGAATGCAGTATATACAAATGTTCCAATGCTTAAGACATTTTAAATTTGTATCTCGATTATTTTGAGAAATTTTTAAAGTTTAGAAAAGTATAGAGAATAATACTCATTCTTGTCCTCCAGAGTTGACTGACCATCATTAAATTCCAGCTCAATAAAAATTGCAATAGAAGGAAACATTGCAGATAAAGCCCTCTTTGATATTCAGCCCCAACACCATTACTTTCTTTTCCCCAAAAGCCAAACGTTTTCCCCAAAAACGTTCTCTTAAATGTGGTGTTTCCTTCGGAGTCCACTTTCTCTAGTTACATACAAATTATATACATGAGTACCTCATGCTTGTTAGAGTAGCTGTTACCAATAAGACAAGTAATAATAAGTGTTGGTGAGGATGTGAAGAAAAGGGAAACCTTGTGCACCGTTGGTGGGAATGGGAATTAACTGGTGCAGCCACTATGGGAAACAGAATGGAGGTTCCTCAAAAAATTAAAAATAGACCTACCATATGACTGAGCAATGCCACCTCTCAGTATTTCTTTATCTGATGAAAAAGAAAACACTGACTCAAAAAGATATATGTACCGCCAGCGTTATTTATAATAGCCAAGTTATAGAAGTGACTTACTGTTCACTGATGAATGAATGGATAAATAAATTAGGATATACACAGGTATATTTTTGAGTCATAAAAAGATGAAATCTTGCCATTTGCAACAACGTGGATGGACTTCAAGGATATTATGCTAAGTGAAATCAGACAGGAAAACAAATACGTTGTGATCTCTCATATGGGTAGACTCTAAAAACAACAGTCCCAAAACCAAAACCAAGCTCATAGATACACAGAACAGATTGGTAGTTGCTGGGGGTGGGAGAAATGGGTGAAGGGGGTATAAATTTATTTTAAAAAAAAGATTAATGAAGAGAGATATTTTGAACTACCTCACTTCGTACTATGTATTGCTGACTTATTATTACTGATGTATTTTTCTTCTCTCTATCATTTTACCTTTTGCTTTCTATTTGTCTCACCTTTGCTTTTTGTTCTCTAATCTTCTCAAAAGTAGACTGTGTTTTGGGGAAAGCGGCACAGCATGGAGAAGACAAGTAATGACTCTATAGCATCTTACTGCGCTGATAGACAGTGACTGCCATGGGTGGGGGACTTGATAATATGGGTGAATGTTGAAACCACAATGTTGTTCATATGAAAACTTCCCAAGATTGTATATCAATGATACTTTAATAATAAAAATGTAGACGAGTTTTGTTTTCTTATTCCTCTTTTTCTGTCTACTGGTTTGGAAGTCATTGATTCTATTCCTATTCTTAGAGTGGCTCCCCTTAGAACTTTACATGGCATACTTAACAAAACCTCACAGCCCGCTTTCCAAACAATACAGGGCCCTTGGAACACTAACTCCAACGGTCGCCCTCTTCTGCCAGGCTGTCAGGTTTCATTTTAGTCTGTCCTTTTTCTAGCCCACAAATTTGTCTTCATGACAATTACATTATTTGGTGTTTTTTCGATTTATCGACATGTGTATCGTTTTCTTTTCTTAACAGCCCTTGCATTTCAGACTTGTCTTTTTTGATCATTTTCTTTACATACTTGGAAGTTCCTTTAATATAGGCCTGCTGGTAGTGATTTAAATTTTTTTTAATTTTGAGAAAATTGTGTCTGGGAGCTAGGGAGAGCCACTCACCTGGAACCAATTTAACACACTTCTGGGGTCCTGTTCAATGCAGGAACTCCAGGCTTAGGCTCTCCAACTTGCTTCTGGCTCTGGCAGCACTCCCGTTGTACTGAGCAAACGTTTACATTTAGGTAACAGCCATCTCTAACATCTACTACTCAGAGCTCTGGGCTCAGCTGACAATTTTTTTTAATTTTGTTGCATTTCAGAGATTTTACTTCCTGGAAAACCAGCAACAAAATTAAAAATTATGGGTTTATTTTTGCAAAAAAAAAAAGAAAAAGAAAAGAAAAGTTATATGCATGAGTAAATGTTCTTGGGCATGAGATAGTCCTGCTCTAAAAAATTATTTAAATGGAATCGTACCATGAACGGCAATTGGGAATTTTCAGAAGAGTAAGACAGGCTTAGAGTGAGATAATCCTTTGGAATTCATGTCGTCATCATCATTGTATTTATCCAGTACTTATTGGTAATCTGATATCTGGCAGGTGCCAGGACAGGGAATATAACAGTGGGCAGCACTGATGGTTTTCTCCACTCGTGAAGTCCGTGTTCTAGTGGAGAAGAGTCAAAAAGAGCACACTGTGCTCAGTCCCCTCCACGACGGCTCCCAGTGATCCAGGAACAACCATTGCTAGCATGAATAGCCAGACATGGAAAGGGCCCTTGTGGGTGATGGTGGTGGTGGTGAAGACATGTTTTCATGGAGCAGGCACAGATATCAAACTCACAGTGGCCTCAGTTACCTGAAAGAAGACAGTATGGGCCTGAAAGTATTGTACCCTAAGAGCTGCGACCCTGAGACCTCCTTGTGAGAGATACGATGGCCGAATGCGTTTAGTGGGAGATTATTGTTGGCCATTGTGTAATCTGTGGCTCCGTGGACCTGCATCATTTCATCAGTTGGAAAAATACACGTCAACAGTGACACCATGTGGCTATAAGATGCAAAGATAATGGTGGGCAGATGAGACGCCAGGACCTTCCCCTTCGGTGTGTGGAAGTTGGGTCTTCACCTTAGAATTTTTGGATCACTTGACCTCCTAAGAGTTTTGAAAATGGTGGATAAGGACCTAGTTGTAGATTCTGAATTTATTAAACTGAAAGAAGATGGAGTTGATTTCCTTTTGTGGAAGAAAAAACAGTTATCATATTTGTACACTGAGGAGCCATTTTTACCTATTATTATCAGGACACAAGAAAATTAGGCTTGAAGACACCCAAACAAAAAACCTGTCCGTTTTATTATACCACTGTTGGAAACTCGTCTGTTGTTCCCCATCACCTCCTGGATAAAGTCCCAGCTCCTTAGCATACCTCCTAAGGCCTTCTCTGCCCCTCCAATGATGGCAACACACTCACTTTCCTCAGGAAGCCTTTAGTACGTTCCATTATATTTGTAAATGCTTTGGGAGTTTGGTTTTTGGGGAGGGCAGATATGAGCTGTACCAAAGGAGCCCAGGTTTAATTACCAAATATATATTTATATATATAAGGTTTACTGAGCACTTGTGAAGTAGGCAATATAATGTGCTTTGAGATTATCTTAGTTTTGCACATGAAGTTTTCTCTAAATATCTTTCCTCCCTGTATTGCTGGTGAACTCTTGGTGTTTAGAATCTTTCTTAAGTATTTCAGGTTTGCAGTTCTCGAGCTTGGCTGCACACTGGAATCACCCAGGGAGCTTTACAAACTATTGATAGCTGGGTCCCACCCTGGAGGTTCTGATTCAATTGGTCGGGGTCCTGAACATCAAGAGTTTTCAAGACTCTCCAGGTCATTCTAAACGTGCAACCAGGTTTGAGACCGTCTGGTCTAGGAAGACTTAGGTAATCCTCTTTCCCTTTTGCACCCAGCACACCCTTCTTTGATCTTGCCTATCACAGTTTCTTAATTTCAGAGTGTATACGCATTTCCCTAATTAGACTTTGAGCATTTCCGGTCAGCCACCTCTGCAGTTCTGAAGCCCGATGTCGGGTCTGACACTTTGTAGCGATTTGGAAAATAGGGACTGGAAAGGTAAATGTCACCAACACACACATACTGGGGTCCTCCAAATGTAGGATTCTGCAGCTCTCGGCCAGGTCTGGGACACTGAGAACAAGCTGGCTGGTCCCGCATGAAGACCTCGCAGTAACGGTCTGCGGTGGCAACATGGCCACGGCCTCACATTCCCTGACAGCTTCAAACATGTTTCTGAAGTCTTCCCGGCAAACGAGACTCCAGTTCGGTGATAGAGCGCCTGCCAGGGCGGACCATGCTGAAAGCTCACGGGAACTGCGCAGGCGCAGACGGCAAGCACGGCGTACTGACTAGTTTTTAATAGAGCCCCGCTCCCAACGGCGGAGCCAATCAGGCTCCGGGCTGACCCAGTCTCTCTGCGGCCCGAAAAAATAGCTCCGGCGGTCAGAGGCGGAGCCGGGGCACGTCTCTCAACGCGCTTCGGCTCGATTGGTAGGCCTCCCGCGGCAGGGTACCTGTCGCGCTCCTGGGGCCCGCGGCGGCTGAGCCGGATGGGGCCGGGCGCAGTGTTGGTGGGAGGTCGCGACTGAGGACGGCGGTGAGTGACCCTGGTGGTTCACACAGGCGTCGGCTGGAGCCTGTCCGACGCACGCCCGGAATTGGCCTCAGTTGGTCGCCGCTAGTGGCCCAACTGACCCTCTTTGGGGCCTCCAGGGAGGAGCAGTTTGGGGCTAGCTCATGCCAGTTAAAAATCCCAGTATAAGATTGGGGGACCTGACAAACTTGGTACGAGTCCGGGCTCCCCTTTGTGATATTTGGCTTCTCATTTAACGTCTCATGGCCCCAATGTCTTTGTTTGTAGAATACAGCTGGTAACTCTTGCCTTCCGTGGTAGTTGAGAAGGTTAAATGAGACAGTAAGTGTAAGGCCGAGAATGCTACCTGGCGCAGATTGGATTCTGAGGAGACTCCATCCATAGGAGGCGGCCAGGGCTGACCCGTTCCACTCTTCAGTGCCAAGGTGCCGATAGGGTTGTTAGGCTAGTGAAGACTTGGAGCAAAGGGGCGGGGAAGAGAGGGGTAAGTGAAAAGTTAGGTGGGTATCCCCTTCTCCGGTTTATTAGACTTATTCCAGATTCGGGGATTCTCTCACTTTGTGCAGAATCTAATTTGATTCTGTTAAAATCGGTGAGCTGGAAATGTCAGAAGGCTGGGAGACTTTTAACAAAGAGACCAGACAGAGTTTCTACTAACCACTTTATTTTCTAACCATAGTAATATTAAACATGAGTGCAGGCATTACCCGTATTGGCTTCAATTCTCTGCGTAATTTTTCTTTATTTTTTTTTTAGCTTTGTGTATTGCCTGCTAAACCCGGGCCTCCCCCATCATACCTTGGAGAAGAGGTGGCTGACTAAGGTTTGTCTGCAGCTTCTGCTTGAAAGGAAGGGAGGCGTTCTGGCCCTTTTGTAACCTAACCTCTCCTGGGGCAGAATGATTTGGTCGCATTGATAACCAATTCTAACTCCCTTTTCCTTATTTGTGGTAGATTCAGTTCTTCTTAGGAAAGTTAAACAGCATGTTGACATATTTTTGGAATAGAGCTTTTGCATTTCGTGGACAATAGAGACTGGAAGCTTTATATGTTCCATTTATGGTAGTAATGTGAAATTTCTCTTTTGAGAAATACCTGCTTTTGAGAAAACTGATTACAGATTTTGCTGTGACTCATTTGAGAAAGAACAGTTACTGGCCATATTATTTCCAGCCTTTCTCCAAATAAGTGATGACAATCTTCTGAAAGAAGTATCTCCTTTAGAATTTTTTATAAAACAGATCTGTTAGATTTTTGTTTGTTTGTTTGAAGTATCTTACTTTTGCCTTTATTATTAATGGATTTTTTTCACTGGGTTTAGAATTTTAGATTGAAAATTTTCTTTCAGCACATTGAAGATATTAGTTCCTTATTAGTTTCCATTGTTATTGCTAAGAAGTTAGCTGACATTCCAACTATCACTCTTTTTAAGATAATCTTTTTTTCTGTAATTGCTTTTAAGATTTTCTTTATGTCTTTGTTTTTCTGTACTTCAATATATATCTAGGTGTGATCTTTCTTTTTTTCTCTATTTTATCCTGTTTGCAATATGTTGGCTTTGTAGAATCTGTGGGTTTATGTCTTTCATTGGCCCTCAAGATTTCATAGCCATTGTGTCTTAAAATGCAGCTTCTCCATTCTTTCCTCTGTTTTTTGGCTGCCCAGAAGAAGTAAATTAAGAAACTTATTTTATGCATGTATCCCCTCCACTCAAAGTAGAATGTCCTTTGTGTTTTCTTGAAAATAGCATAGAGAATAATCTCTTCTAACTTCCCTTTTCTAGTGCACTTTATTTTCTCTTCTGCTCTTTTTCATCTACTGGAAGGCCTTTTATTTGAGATCGTAATTTCAGTTATTGTAATTTTTTGTTATAAATTTTTGACTTACTGTTTTCCAATATTTTCTGTCTCTTCAGTTTCAAGCTTTTATTTTTATTTCTTTGAACAGTTGTCAGCATAGTTATTTTATGATCCATGATTAATAATTACAGTATTCGAAGTCTTGGTTGGTTGGTTTCTTTTGACTTTTGTTTCTGTTCTTATTGTTTCCTGTATGCCTTGGTTGTCTTTTTTTTGCTGGATATTGTATTTGAAACACATTTTTATGGTAATAATTTGAGGCCTTTTTCCATTTATTTCCACTCTAATCTTTATTATTTCCTTCGTAACTAACTTTGGACTCTGCCTTTTTTTTTTCCAGTTCCTTTTACATGTAAGGTTAGACTGTGTTTTTGAGATTGTGCTCATTTCTTGAGACAGGCCTATATCACTATAAACTTTCCTCTTATAAATGCTTTTGTCCAAGAAACTCTTTGCCCCATCAATTCTGAATGGTAAACTTGCTGGTAGAGTATTCTTGGTTGTAGGTTTTTTTTCCTTTCAGCACTTTGCATGCATCATGTCATTCCCTTCTGGCCTGCAAAATTTCTGCTAAAAAATTAGCTGATAGCCTGATGGGGTTTCTTGTGTGTGTAACTGCTTTTCTCTTGCTGATTTTAAGATTCTCTCGTTATCTTTAATTTTTGCCACTTTAATTACGTGTCTTGTTGTGCACCTACACAAGTTCATCATTTTTGAGGCTCTCTGTGCTCCCTGGGCCCAAATGTCTGTTTCCTTCCCCAGGTTAGGGAAGTTTTAAGCCTTTATTTCTTCAAATAAATATTTCTTCAAATAATTGTCCCCTTTTCTATCTCTTCTCATTCTGGGACCTCTATAATGTGAATGTTAGTGTGCTTGGTATTGTCACAGAAGTCGCTTAATCTATTCTAATTTTTTTTAATTAAAAAAATTTTTTGCTGTTTAGTTGGGTGCTTTCCATTACCCTGTCTTCCAGATTACTGGTCCATTCCTCTGCACCCTCTGATCTATTATTGATTTTCTCTAGTGTATTTTTCATTTCAATTATTGTATCTTCAGTTTTATTGGGTCTTTTTATATTTTCTGTCTCTTTGTTCAAGTTCTCACTGAGTTCATCCACTCTTCTCTCCAGTCAGTGAACATTTTTATGACCATTACTTTGAATTCTTTATCAGGAGGTTGCTTATCTCCATTTCTTTAGTCCCTTTTATAAAGTTTTGACTTGTTTGGGTATATACCTCTGTCTTCTCATTTTGTTTGACTTTTTGTGTTCGTTTCTATTAATTAGGCAAATCTGCTACCTCTCCCAGTCTTGAAGGAGTGGACTTTGGTGGGAAGGTCCTCGGTGTGGACCATGTGGGCCTGGTGGCTTTGGCTGGCTGGCTGGAGCTGTAGCAGGCCCAGGCAGAGGGGCCCGTAGCACTCTGTACTGGGGCCACCTGGCAGGATGGCTGGGACTGAAGCATGTGTGGCCCAGTGGGTCTAGGGCTGCCCTGGACGGACAGCTGAAGCTGAAGGGGACAGGAGCCAGGGGCAGGGTGTCTGAGGGTGCTTTGCACCTGGGCCATCTTGGTGAGTCTGCTGGAGCTGTAGTGGGCACAGGCCTGAGTTGTCCCAGTATGTGCCATACTTTGGTGGGATGGCTGGAGCTGGGGCAGGTATAGGCAGGGACACCACCTTGTAGGGATAGTTGTTGCTGGTGTGGGCTAAGGGCCTGGGACTTGCTGTGGTGGCCCTACAGGCCAGCTAGAGTGCCAGGACCCTGCTCTCATCCACACTATCATAGTGGAGGGAGAACAAGAACAGTGGGTCTCACCAGCACCTTTGACTCTGGAGAGAGTTCTAGCAGTTGCCCCACAGTTTGGCAGATACTAGTGTTAGTAAATGGCTTCCTTCACTTATATTCTAATTGTTCTCTACATGGTGTGTTTTTCTGTGCCCCAGGGCAGCAAGGTCTCCATGGAGCGGGGTGGTGGGGTCCTCAGTGACATTGTCCCTACTGCAGTTCTGACCATAGTGTTGGGGCTCCTGTGTTGTCTCTGTCTCTCCTGCCATTCTCTGTGTGTTCACCCCATCTTTTGTTGTGCAGAAGCTGTTGAATCAGACCTCAGTTCTTTCCCAGGAAGCTTTGCTCTGTATATAGGTGTAGGTTTGGTGCATCCATGGAGGAGGTGAGTTCAGTCTTCCTATGTACCATCTTGGGCCTCTCCACTTCCTCTCTGCTGAGGGAGCCCAGACACCTCTCAGACCTCTGTTATAGTTCCCATGGTGGCCTTGTGTATGAGAGCGGGCCCATGAGATCTTACCAAGTGACAGCCCTCCCTGTCTGTCCCTTCCTGGATTCGGGAGGCCCCTAGACATGTAGCTGGGTGCAAAGACAGTGTTTCTTAAATTGGGGCAAGAATCTGATCCTCTAGGGACACTGACACCCCCAAACCTCCCCACCCCCTGCCCCCATGCACACAAACTGTTCTAGCTTCCCCTGGGGGAAGGGAGACCCCAGGAGCAACATGAACCAAGCCTGTAACAGGGAGCTCAGCCTGATGGCGAAGACAGTGCAAAAAAATACCTCCTGGGTTTTCACCACGGAAACCGTACCCCAGGCCTGCCTCAACTTGCTCTAGGACACACAGCGGAGGTGATGGTGTCTCTCCTATGAAGAGGGCAGTCTGGGCAAGAGGCAGATGCAGCATAGCTAATCTCTATAGAAGTCTCAGGGAAGCCAGAGACAGGAGTCTGAAAGGAGCCTAGTCAGGGTTTGAAGGCCTAGAGTGAAGGGCACCCTACCTGGTTTCCATATCACATTGTTCCCAGACTATTACAGCACCTGCTTCCTTGGCAGGGTCCTGGGAAGGGCCTGGCCTCAGCCTGCATTCTCCAGACTCTCCTGGCTGGCTTGGCTGGACAGTTTGGAGGGCCAGGGCCCAGATAACCTTTTGGTTTGAGGCAGAGGTGCTGCTTCTGAGTAGAAGCAGGCTTATGTGCATAGCATGGAGGCCCGGTATGGCTCCATATGAGGGGCGCCTTGTGCTTTGGCCTGGCTCTCATGTGTGGTAGGGGCTGATGGACATGGGCCAAAGTGAGGTGGCTTGACAGAGGCTGGGCCTGATTCTGGAGGCTGTAAGGAGTCTCTGGAAGGTTTTGGAAAGGCCCTGTGAAAAGCAGCACGAAGGGAGGAATGAAGCTGGGGAAGTGAGACTGGTTGAGAAACTGATTTAAGCCAAGCTGTTGGTAGAGGGGACCAGGATGGGGGTGCGAGGTGTGTGGGAATGGGACTGCGGATGAATGGTGGCTCTGGACTGGTACGAGGGGGACCTAGGGGCCTTGCGGGCTGCTTTCTGATTTGGTGAGCTGGACACCCATTGCTGGGGCTGCGAATCCAGCAGGAGAAGTGGGTCTGGGAGGTTGGTTATCTGTATTAATACCTGTGAAGAGCCTGCAAATCTATGTAAATGTGGGCTTTTTGACCCACCTAACCTGGGGATGATGTGGAAAACCTGGAACCTACTTAGTTGAATATTCTTCTCCTGTCCTCTGTCTTTCAAGGAGCACATGTTGTTTATGACGGTGCAGAGAGACATGGCTCTGGGTGTGGTGGGAGCAGGGTGATCCTTGCCCGCATTTGGAGCACGGGTGCCTTGATCCTCATGCGGACCTCTCAGTATGCCTTCTTCCCAGTAGAGAACTCATTTCCTTGCATGGAAGTGCGGTTGGTGGCTTATGACCTCCTTTGGTATCAAAAACTATTTTTACAAATTAACAGAGTTGGGGGCTGAAGAAAAGTTGAGGGTTTCAAGGGCCCCATGTGGGAATTCATACGTGGCTCCCCCACTCAGGCCTGCTTGCAGCACCAGGAAGCGTCCCTGGCGTGGCAGCGCCCAGTGAGGGTGGGGTGTGTGTGAGTCTCCAGCCCACTTCCTGCTTATCAAGCTGTTGTCAAGCACACCTTGTGCTATTTGCACCAGGCC